GAACAAAAAAAAATACGATTAATCGATTATTAAATCAGTCATCAATTATTTTAATAATCGATTAGTCGTCGATTAATCGACTAATCGTGGCAGCCCTAGTTAGTACCCTAACTTTTACAGCCTTTTTCACCTGTCTTGTCTTTTTTTTAGTTGTATTGCTGCATTAACATAAAAAATTACCTTGTATTCTGCAAAATTTACTTTTTTGAGCTTTATATCATGATATAATGTCAATCCACCGTCAAAAATATATCCAGCGTTGCTTTGACTCATTTGAGAAATCCTTGAATCTCCTGTGGTAGCCATGTGGAGTTGCCTAAATATTTGCTGGTACAAAGCTCYRCCTATTTAACAAAGCTCCTCCCTGGAGATCAGTCTGCAGTTGAGTTCCCGCCCCACAGAGCACCCCTCCCCCGAAGCATTGTTGTGAAGACATGCTGAAGTGGGAGTGTCTGAAATGGTAGGAGGTTCCCAAAGAGACAGAGGCTAATTTCATGGTGTTTAGATAGACTATGATGCAAAGTCTAATTTATTTACAGCTTTTTCATAACAACTGAAGGTAACATTGCTACTGGCTTGTAGTATAGAATTGAAATATGTGCCTGGAAAATACTCAATACTCCCAACTATTAAAAAAGTGTACAGTTTCTTAGATTAAACTTTTAATATGTTTTATTGTTAATAAAATATTGGCATATCATTGCATTGAGTTTTTATTTATATCTTACACAATGCCCCAACTTTTTCAGAATTTGGGTTGTAGAATTTTGTACACTGTGTTCAGAAAAGAAKATTATAAAAATCTAAGCACAACTAACAGATTTTTTTTTATCCCCAGTGAAAGTAGAGATGAAAGGACCACATGACTACTCCTCCCCMGCAGACTGGCCTCTAATGATAGTATGTAGTTGATTTTTCGTGATGATAATTGACCTTTACTCTAGATTTATCTGCTGTTTCAGTTTTCGTCCTGCCTGTATGAATTCTTTGGAGCTGRTAGGTCAGATAGAAGTGAAGCTTAAGTTTCATTTTTTTGTCCCTTCCCAGTTCTTCATGGTCATGTGCATCGTGTATGTGCTGTTCGGGGTGCTCTGGCTCTTCTGGTGTGCCTGTTACTGGAGGGATCTGCTGCGGATCCAGTTCTGGATCGGGGCTGTCATCATCCTCGGCATGCTGGAGAAAGCAGTGTTCTATTCAGAATACCAGAGCATCCGTTACAAAGGAGATTATGGTGGGACATAGGTGCTTGTGTCTAATTTAGTTTGTTTTGTTCAGTCATAATTGTCGTTTTGTTTCTTTATGCAGTTCTCGGCGCTGTGATTTTTGCCGAGCTGCTCTCTGCACTCAAAAGATCCCTGGCTCGAATCCTGGTTCTCATCGTCAGCCTTGGCTATGGCATAGTCAAGTATGTTGATTACTTTGACAATAGTTTTTTGACAGTATTTCAGCTTGTTCTCATTTAAAACAGTCTTTATTTTCTTTACAATGTAACTATCTGTTTATAGCTTGTTGCTAATACACACTGGAACTATCTCCCTCCTGCAGGCCGAGGCTGGGTACCACTGTGCATCGTCTGGTGGCTGTCGGGCTTCTTTACCTTCTCTTCTCCTCTGTGGACGGTGTCCTGAGAGTGACAGGGGTGAGTAAATATGGATTAATATGATGGGTTTCAGAACTAAAATTAGAAAGGTACTGTATAACTTAGTGAAAAGTGACTAAATTAAAGATGAAACCTCGAATGCCTTCTGGAAACATAAAACAAACTTTTAGTGCTCAGCAATAAGATACCTCTCATTCTTAAATGAGAATTTGCAATCAAGATGGAGAAATTAGAAAATCCCTTCCTCTCTCTCTCTTTTTTTTGTGGGTGACATTTTTATTGTCGTTGGGGTTAAAGAACAACAACAAAAAAATCACACATTTGTTGACTTTCTGGAATGCTTTTCACATCCTTGCTTGTCAAAGACACCCTTTTATTGCAATAGCTTTTATATCAAATAATAAATACAATTACCTTTTTAAATAATTAATATACTTTATGTATATATTGTTAGATTGCTAACGTCTTAGCCTTTTCTTGGAATATGTTACTGTTGGTTTCAAAGGGATTCAAACTAGAGACGCACCGATTCTGATTTTATGGCGATGCTGATTTCCAGTTTTTGAATAGCTCTGACCTGCTGGTACCGATTTTCTTTCAATGAACTATCGTGTTTTTCAACCCTGGCAGTGTGCCTTGAGGACCACTGCAGGGCAGTTTAGATGTTTCCCTGCTTCAACACAGCTGATTTCAGTTGGTAACTAATTAGCAGGCTTTTGATGAACTGTAATCAGCTGAATCAGGTGTTTTATAGCAGGGAGACCTCTAAAACATGCAGGGCTGTGTGCCTTGAAAACCAGGGTTGAAAGAGGAGTGAGAGTCTAACCCATATAAAGTCATACACATWCAAATTTATCTGCTGTCTTAAAACAAATACATCCTCAAAGAAACCTTCTACCCTGACGACGTGCACTGTCACCAAGTAAAAAGTATGACAACTTACTTGCATGTAGTCATTTCAGTGAGACAAAATTTTCCATTTTTTTTCAACTGCAAGAGCGAGAAGGGAGAAATGTTAAGAGACCAGATGGACATGTTTTATTATTCTGCCGTGTGCAAACCACTGAGTGATGCTCCTCATTAAAAAAGAAAATCACCTCATTGTTTTGATTCAAAACACATTAAAACTGACTAAACTGAGGACTAAACACTCTAAACTACACCCTAACTATAAATATCCAAACATCCTAATATAAAATCCAAATATACTAATAACCAAACTCCATTCAACTTTAATATTTTTTTTATTTTCTTCTTCCTGTATATTTTTTTACTGCTTGTCAGATAACTTCGGGCCTCAGTGAAAAAGGAGGTTGGGGGTTTATATTTTTTCGGTTTGAGAGAAAGATGAGACTAACGGCTGATTGCGGTGTATTTTCCACGAGATTACTCAGTTTCCTGCTGCCTGCAGCTGCAAGGTGCTTCAAATAGGATCGTTTTTGGGAAAAAAAAGTGGTGTATACTATTTATCATAACTCTGGTTTTGCTTGACATATGGACACAATTTAAAAACTACTGTATAGTTTGAATTGAATACTTTTGACCCAGTTTGTAACAGAGTYTCAGAGAGGCTGTGTCTTTCCAGCTTGTGATTGAAAASCTTTTATGTGAATCAATCATGTGACATACTATACCRCTGCCGTGCATCAGGTTGTAAGCTCTCCTCGTATCCACACAGCATTCCTGAATATCTGATTAAATCTGTGTGAGTCACACAAAATATTTTACATTACTACCTAAAAACAGTTTATGTGAACAGCACTATTCCCCCACCCCCATGGGCCAGATACCAGTTTCAAGGTATACCGTGATATGAAAAAGTCACAGTTTGAAAACCACTAAAATTTTCTGTCATACCGTTCCTACGGTAAGCGTTTATTGTTTTTCCTCYGGTCTGTTCCGCTGCAGACTTTCCCCCGCGACCCCTCTCCCGTGCACCCCTGCAGAGCTGCCTGTCTGCAGCACTCTGTGTTACTGTGTGTGTCTGAAGGAAGAGAGTTTCCTAAACTTTTTTCTTGTCTAAAATAATAAAGCCAGCTATACAAAAATACTTTGGATGCTGTAAAAAGACGGACGAAGTGACCGTGAAGGCAACACGTCTAACATGATCGCAGCTCCAGGTAAAGTWATGCTGTMTTTGAACGAGCTAACATTGGCATCAGATTGTGAAAAATATCACCRTGTTGCTGTGGCTTAATGCACCGGTCACAACTTGTCTGGAAAACTGTTTGAGTTGTTGGATTGTGTATTTGATAAGTTTTAAATGAAAGGCGATAAAACTAAATGCCTCCTTTAGGGCAACTCRTTAGCTGAACGTGCGTTTCATAAACACAGATTCATAGTGGTTATTGTTTCTGATCGCATATAATTATATAATCTTTACATCAAAAAAAACATTTTGAAATTTAAAACACAATAAAAACTCTCAACATGATACATTACTTCAGTAAAAAGACTTGTGCAGTGTACACTGATTTGTCTTAACTAATAAAGCAATAGAAAAGSAGTTATCTTACTAGATGTAAAGTTTATCAGGATAACTTAATTGCATTAGATGCTAAAAATCACAAGTATAAATGCACACAGGTAAATAAAATTTCAGTATAACACCTCTGAGATCTAAAAACAGCTTAAGATAATTAAAGTCGAATATAATAGAAAAGATGCTTWATTCTTTTTTTWAAATACCAATTTCAAAATAAAGCTTTTTAAAGCTGTAATCATAATRCCGTCATACCACGAAACGATGATATTTTTGCCCAAGGTTATCATATTGTCATAATTTCATACCGTCCCATGCCTACMCCCACAATAAAATGGACACCGACTTTGAGAATCCTAATTTCCTACTCCAGTGCTGAGGGTGTTTTCACGGACTTAAAAAAAAGCCGTTACCCATTAAAAACTGGAAACAAAATCAAGTTTTTAAAAATTTGTTCAGCCGGTTTCTGGTTTTAACTGATCAAGGTGAAAAGCAGCCGATAGCAGTTTCAGACGGATTGCTCAGTTCATCCCTAATTCAAGCTGCAGGAGGTAGACAAATGAGATATAACTTAGCAACAAATGAAGCAATGAATGGAAAAGCATGGGATAGAATGTTTTTTACATTTAAAAGCATTATGATTTTTTCTCTCTCCATTTCAGTTGTTTTCTATTTTTTTCCATTGATGACCTTTACAAAGTCTGCTTTTCTTTCTGCAGGGTTTTTATGGCACRGTCGCACTTGTGGCTAATCTTAGCCTCTCCCTCATCGACTCTTGTGTCATGTGGTGGATATCCTTTACTCAGYCCACCTAAAGTGCTTCTCAGACTTAGTTACCGCACTGTTCAAAAGCATAATTTMCATGAATACGCACAGCATTCTCCTTAATTAACGTCCACATTTTCATCAGCCTCTCACAAACGACTCGTCTCTTGAAGCTGCGCAGGAATGTGGTGAAGCTCTCCTTATATCGGCACTTCACCAACACACTCATCTTTTTTGTTGTCGGTGAGTTGCAGGTGTTTGAATAAAACTGCAGTACTGTTGGTCTGAGATGTATTTAAAGTCATTTCAGGTTATTTTTTTAATTAAATACTTCAGATGATTAGATGAGTGCTGTAGTTTACGTAGAGATGTAGTTTAAGAATGTCTACAAACATCTGAATCACGTTGGTGTTTACTTGGTGTTTTCAGCTTCTATCATATTTATCATCTGGACAACCAAAGTCTTCAGGCTGGTTGACTGTCAGAGGGTGAGGGTTTTTTTTTATTTTTCTTCAGGGTAGATGGGGTTGTTGTTGCATATTTTTCCTGAATGTTCTGTTTACTGTGTTCAGGGGAGAAAACAGCCTGACTCCTGYTTATGTTCTTTCCAGAGTTGGCGGGACTTGTGGGTGGACGATGCCTTCTGGCGTCTCCTGTTCTCCACYATTCTGCTGGTGATCATGGTGCTGCTGCGTCCCTCTGCTAACAGCCAGAGGTCGGAGACAGTGAGAAGCTTGAGCTGACCCCTGTGTCTGAAAAAAAAAAGTCTCGACAAATTACTTTCCTTTGCGTGTTCTTATTCCTCCTAGGTTCTCTCATTCCCCTCTTATTGATGAAGATGATGAAGAAGATGAGGCTAAAGAACCCATGATGAATGAGGCTTTTGGTAAGATATACTGTACTAGAGTTATGTTTAAAACAGATAAGTAATAACCTTGTTAAATGATCCTTAAAAATAATCAAAGTGATGCAACAGGAACAGTTGAATTCTGATACGACAAACTGAGAGCCAATTATWATGGTACTATTTTAATGATTAGAATTGAAATACAGCTAAAATGAATAAAAATATAAACATATATATCTAAGTAAGTAAGTGAGAGTAGTTGGTAAACTCATTGTACACGGCTCTAGAGTGCGACCAATTTGGTCGCAAATGYGACCTGATTTCCTAMTAGTGCGACTAAAAAAAATGTCCGTYGCACTGGTGCGACCAATCGTTYGAGGGKGAGGGGGAGCTGTCACCCGCTGAAACAAAAAATCTCCATCATGTTCAATAAAAAAATGAATCCAGCAGTATCAACCATAACAGTCACCCACCAACAGTCTCCATCTCTCCTAATAACACTGCGCTCTGCTCCCGGGCTCTGCTCYACACCTCCCGCTCGCACACACACTGTTGTTCTATCCTCGTGGGGACTTTGCAYTGGCTTCCATTCATTTCCCTGTCATTTCTAAAGCCAACCATAACCTCCCAGGTAGACTACACACCTGACCATAACCCTAACCTCACCTGGCTGTGTGTAGCAGGTCCAGGGAAATGGTCAATAATTGTTCCCGTYATGAAGCAAAAACCTGTACACACACGCACGTGCGCGCACACGCATAGTGAAACAACCGTTCTTTTTTTTTACCCAGATCGGAGTTTGTAAAACTTTTTTTTTCTTTTTAACCATGGAGATGAAAACAAGGTGTGGACAGTTGCTCGCTCTTAAGTCCATTTTGTTAATTTAACAGTCGGGGTCTGAGCGCTGCAGATCATTTCAGCGGCATGAGGAAGCTCACGTGTATGGCAGGCCGGTTTTGCACTTAATCGGTTTCACCACAGTTACATTCCAAGTATCTGAAATAGGTTCTTCTGGGTCTCGGGAGGATAAAGCTAGACATTTTAGATATTTAAGTGAAATAATATAATAAGATTCAACTAATGCTAATTAAATTTCAGACTTTTATGTGTTATTATTTTTTTAAAATTTGCACAACCTTTTAATAAATATCAGTAATATTTGTGTTATTAATCATTATTCTCTGTTCATCATTCTGGTTTATCCAAGGCCAAAGATCCAGAGGGCCAAAGATCCATAGTTGTCCATCTGAGGGGCAGGTGTCTAAAAAAATGTAACCATGAAATGTTTAAKATGTTTATAAGACATTCAGCTCTTAAACATTTGCACTTAGAATTTTATAGAATCACTTTAAATACTTTTCAGTAAGTTAAATTTCTACAATTCTGGTTCAAATAAAGAACTATATATTTACTAGATTGTTAACTAATTATTTTTGAGTTAATGTTGCCTTAATGAACAGTGATTTTAAAAATGTCTTGTGTTTAGAAGATTTTTGCTTGGACTGGACAGTTTTTATTTATTTAATAACCAACAACAAACCTAAATGATTTGCTTGCAGCTTATCTTCGACCCATAACCCAGGTGTTTGTGGTGGTTTATTGTATTGTGTTGTGATCTCATTGTTCTCACACATACATTCTGATGTTCTCCATCAAAGCTTGCTTTTCTGCTGATATAAAAAATGAGTAACGGTGTTTTGTTGTAATCATGTTGATTGTCATGTGACCTCAATTTGTGTTTATATTTGTTTTATATTTGCAGAAGGAATGAAGATGAGAGGCTCAAAGCCTGACATTAATGGCTCCCAAAAATTGCTGAGTAAAGAGGTGAGCTCCTGGTYCTTTGTGACCCTCTCTCTACCTTCGATCCTGTTTTTTTATACTTCAGTTTGTGTTTCTAATCTCTGTTTTTGTCAGGATGAGGACATGAAATGGGTTGAGGAAAACATTCCTWCATCTGTAGCTGATGTGTGAGTGAAGTGTCTTATCGGTCTGTCTCTTTTCACAGGGCTTCTTTGGAAATGGCCTCCAAAAGTTTCACGTTATAATTTTTAGCCAAAGTTTTATAAAGATACTACGCCAAAAAAAGGAGAATATACTGACATTAAAACTTGCATGCATTCTTAAAGAAGTGTATGAAATACCTGGTAATGCACAACTAAGACTAGAGATTAGTGGGTAATACACAAATAAATAAAAGCAAACCTTAGAACGTCTGTAAATGGTTTTTTTTAAATCCCCCTTCTTGTTTTATTCCACACAGAGCTCTCCCAGTAATGCTTGATGAAGAAGAGGTAAGGTATTTTTTATCTTTGCACCAATCCCATGATTCTACTCACATTTTATTTAAGCCAGTATCTCACTGTTGGTGAACGGCGTTTGACACTTGTGTAACCATTTGACACATGTTAAACAGATGTTTGACCATACTGTCATCTCCCCAGCTGCTAATGTCCCTGACCCGGGTCACAGTGGCACGGCTTGAACTCTTAAAGGGATCCCTGATTAGTTGTAACATTAGACTTTATTTGATAAACATATACAGTATTTAAACTGTTAAATAATGACAGTAAAAATACTGTCGGCTGTTTAGTTTTTCTAATTTTTAAACTAAAAGTTTAAAAATATATTTCACAGACAGAGCCATTTTATTTACACGCGAAGCATTCTGGGTAAATGATGATGTGGATAGGTCATTGGTGTGAGGCTGATAGCGAGCTATATCCACCCTGAAGGTTAATCTTGGACAATTTCTGATGATCGACTCATTTAAATGAAACCAGAGAGCGTTGACAGAGAGGAGAAGGTAGAAATGACTCAGCCTGTAACTGAAAATATAGATGGAGGACAACAGAGCTG